GCGGGCGGTGCGGGGCAGGGTTAGGCGACCGCTGCCCCGGCGTGACAGGGGCGGCGGCTCGGTGCGTCGGCCCCGGCTGGCCGCGATCGCGGTGGAGGCGCCGGAGCGGGTCCTGTCACATGATGCGGTTCCTGGAAAGTTCCTGGAAAGCAGCCTTTGTATGTAGCCATCCCGGGAGGAGGGAGGGGAAGGGGGGGGGAGTGGCGGGGGCAGGATGCCCTCGCCTCGCAATCAAAGGCGAACAGACCGCCCGCGCCGGGGAGACGGGGGGGGGAGCGGAGCGGAGGGTGTTCTTTCCCCAGGAGCACCATCCTCCTCCGGCAGCGGCAGCCTGTCTGTCTGCCCGAGCGCAGCCCCGACGCTTCTTCCCCGGCGGAGGGTGCCGTGTCCCCCCACACCGGCCCTTCAACGCCTCCCGGAGGGAGGGGGGGCGAGAACAACCTGACCGCCTCACCTCCAGGCGGCGGCAGCGGCGGCCCCAGCCCCGTCCCGCCAAGGCCGGGTGAGTCCCGTCGTCGTCGGTGTCGTGTCCGTGCCCCCCCCTCCCTCTCTCCCTCCCTCCTGCTCCCGGGACGGAGCTGCCGAACCCGGAGGCAGGCTGCTCCGGCTACTCCTCGTCCCTGACCGGGGGAGGACAAGCTAGCCGCCACCGCCTCGCAAAAACCCTCCGTCCCCGCCAAGCTCCCACATCGCGACCAGGCGCTTCCCCCCCAACCCCCCCGCCTTCTCCCCTTCCACAAAGGGGTCGCGCCTGAGCCACTCCCTCCCCGGCAAAGCTGCTCCCACCTGCGCTCGGTTCTTTGCCGCCGCCGGCCCCGCAGCCGCTCCGGTGACAGGGCGCACCTGCGCCCGGTCCCCGAGCCGGCGGCGGGAGGTCCTGCGCTGGGGGGGAGGGGGGGGTAAGAAGGGGACGGGGATGGGCTTTGCCCGGAGGGCTGCTGCGTGTGTGCCTGCGTATTTTGCGATAGAATACCCGGCAGAGCAACCTATCAGCTGCCGCTAAAGTTTAATTGGGAAAAGTTTCCGAGCTCCGCCGCGGAATTTGGGACGGGAGGAGTCACCTCGGTGAAACCCCTCAGGCGGCGGCGGCTGCTGCGCACCTGGAGGCAGAGACTCTGCCCGGTTCGCAAGCACCGGCGGGGGTCCCGGGCTTCCCCGTGAGACCTGTCCCCGGCCAAACCGGCTAGGCTCTCCCCTCGCTAGCGCTGCCCGGCTCCCTGTCGCTCCGGGCGTGACGGTGGGAGAGCGAGAGACTCTTTTGTTGTTGTTGTTGTCCCTCCCGTTCGCGTCTAGCCGAGCGGAAAGATTTTTTTTTTTTTTTTTTTACAGTATCGGGTTTTAATGGAACGGGAAAAGCACATTTCCTGCCCCGCGCTAAATATATCGCGCTCTCCACCGCTCTGCCCCTTCCCGTACCCAAGCGGCCAGCGAGCCCCGGGAGCCGGCGCTGCCCGCCGCACCCGCCCCGCAGCCCCTCGGGCACGCCGCCGCCCGGGAGAGGCTGGCTCCCACCCCGGGAGCACGGCCCGCGCCGCGTTCCCGTTCCTAGAGGTACGACTTCGCCTACGACCTTACTGAAAGGCGTACCGTGCCGGTGCCGTTGCAACCCCGGCAGCGCCGGGTCTGCGACCCGGCCCCGCTCCTCCGGTACCCCTCCCCGCTCCTACCTGTACGTTGCTCGGCTCTCCCCCACCGCCTCCCCAGCGGTACCGGCCGGGTTCCCCTTACCCCGGCCGTGGACAGCGGCCCATCAGCGGGTTTGCCCTCGCAATAAAGCGAGACCACCTCCGCCTCGGCCCCGGCGGAGGGGATCCGGGGACAAGGCTGGGCGGCGGCGGGTGGGAGGGAGGAGATGTCCCTCCCCCGCTCCGCCGGGAGGTGATCTCTCGCCCCGGGTCCCTCTGGATGCTGGGAAGTTCCGAAGCGGGAGCGCCAGAAAGGCACGGGCTGCGTCGGGAGCGCCTCTCGCGGGGCTCGCCGCCGCTAACCACGCTCTCTGTCTCTCTCTCTCCGCTCGCAGGCGGCGCCCGGGCCGGGGACCGGGGCCATGCACCCGGCGCGGCGTTGAGCACCGCGGCGGCGGCGAAGCGGAGCCCTCCTCCCGCGGGCAGCCCCCGACCTGCGTGC